GTGGGGTGGTTGAGAGAACATACAAAGTAATAACAATAATAAAAGACTTTTTAAAAACAATCCTATTGCCCTAGCGGGTTTGACTCACTGGATGGAGCGTCGGCCTGCAGATTGAAGGGTCCCAGGTTCGATTCCGGTCAAGGGCATGTACCTTAGTTACAGGCACATCCCCAGTAGCGGGTGTGGGGGAGGCAGCTGATCGATGCTTCTCGCTCTATCCCTCTCCCTTCCTCTCTGTAAAAAAGCAATAAATTATATAGGGTGGCCTCGGCGGTGCCTGAGAGACTGGCGGCTCGGCAGCTGCAAACCCTGACCTACAGCGGCCCGTGGAAACCCCGCCGCCGGGTTTGTCAGGACGTAGTCACTTTTCTGCTTGGGCAGGCTAAATAAAATAAAAATAAAAACAACCCTATCAACCAAAGATAATCACTATTAACATTTTGGTATATATTCTTCCAAACTCATATACACCCAAGCAAAGTATGTGTTCTTTTCCACTCTATGATTGGACATATATTAAATCCTACAGTACTCTCTGTAACAATGCCACACACACATGCATCCTTGCCCAACATTTTACTTAGAATAAATTCCTGGAGATGTAGCTGTTGAGTGAAAAAGTACACACTAATCTCATTGCTCTTATAATTTGCTCTTCTTGGTTACTTCTGTGATAAAACATTTTTTTCTTTAAATTTTTCATTTCCATTGCCTGTTTTCTTACTGAGAGTTTTTTCCTATTAAAGTTAATAGCTCTCTGTCACACATTTTTCAAGAATTTCCCCCAGACCCCGGCTGGTGTGGCCCAGTGGGTTGAGCACCATCCATGCACCGGAGGGTCATGGGTTGGGTTCCCACTCAGGGCGCGTGCAGGTCGGCTCTTCGGGAGGCAGCTGATCATTGTCTCTCTTGATAGGAAATTTTTGGACTGGAGCACGCGGTGTTCCCCTGTGCAGGATTGTTACCCAAATTCTTTGCCCGTCGGAGTGGAAGAATGAACCCACGGACTGAAGATGGTCTAGCAAAGGTGGAGGTTTATTGAAGAACAAGTACGGACTCCCACTGGGGAGGGGGAAAGATTCCCACAGCACAAACTCCCATGTGGGGAGGGGGCAAAAGTCTCTCCGACTTCCTGTGGCCATGGTTTATAAAGGCTGCAAGTCCCTGTGTCCTGATATCCCTTCTGATTGGTCAATATTCCCTTTTGAATTGGTTACTATAGTAACTCCTGAGATTGAAGGTCAAACATCACATGGAACACGGGATGCCCTCCTCCCTCATTGTTCTCCTTTCCTTCTGGGCTTTCTTCCTTCTTTATGTTGTAAATACAGACCTTTTGGCTACTCCAAGTTCCCTTGTCTTATGAAAATGTAACTGAGCCTGGCTCCCTTGTGTTATGGAAATGTAACTTCTCCCAGTCGGTAGCCCTGGTTTTTTCCCATGGACCCCCAATTCTAAAAATCCCCTAAACCTGCCTATATTCCCCTAAAATTCCTATTTCACTCTCTCACATCAATGTTTCTTTCTCTCTCCCTCTCCTTTCCTCTCTCTCTAAAATTAGTTAAAAAAAATTTTTTAAAAACGAATTTCCCCCAGTTTTCCATTTGTCTTGATTTTAGGCCCAGTGCATGAATTCATGCATGGTAGGGTCCCTAGGCCTGGCCTGCAATCAGGGTCCATTGGGGCCTTCCTTCCCCCAGCTACTGGCCAGGGCCTTCCTTCATTCCACGCCGCCCCCTGGTGGTCAGTGCATGTCATAGCGAGCGGTTGAACTCCCAGTCGGTTGAACTCCCGAGGAAAAAAATTGCATATTAGCCTTTTATACATAGAATCTTTATGATTTCAGACTGGTACAAATGCTTAAAAAGTCACTACATACCTTGTGATTATATAAATATCACCTGTAGTTTTTTATTTTTTTAAATCCTCACTCGAGGATATGTTTCTTATTGTTTTGTTGTTTTGTCTTGTTTTATTTTAGAGAGAGAGGAACATGTGAGAGAGAAACATCAATCAGTTCTCTCTCATATGTGCCAAATTGGGATCGAATCCACAAGTTTTTGGTGTACAGGATGATACTCCAAACAACCGAGTGAAATGTTTTTTTCAAGCATTTTTGTGGCTTTATTGTTTAAAAATAAGTATTCATCAGTTTTGCAAGATGGAATGAGTTCTGGAGATCGTTGCACAGCAATGTGAATGACTTAGCACGACGGACCTGTACACTTAAAAATGGTAAATTTTATGTCATGTATATTTTACACAATTTTTAAAAATAAGTACTCATAACATGTTTACAGATATTTAAAAAAGAAGAAGCTTGACCACATGGACAGGAAACAACATAGTCTAAGGACTTGGTCAAGCAGATTTGAAAAAAATACAGTAAAACTTCTAGAAGTGAAAATTAAAATGATTGAAACTTAAAAAAACAAAAACCCCAACAAACTAGAGTGCTCTTCCTCCTGGCGCACGCCCAACGTTCCTTTTCCCTTCCTCTACCCCTATCCCTCTGGCCCCAGGCACATTACCCTTAGCTTCCTCACTCCCAAGCTCCAAGGGCCCTTCCTATAACTCAATTCCTAAGCCATTTCTGCTAGGAATTACTTTTCCTACCTCTGTAATTTACCCAATAAATGTTCTCTTACAAAAAAAATAATAAGCCCTGACCAGTTTGGCTCAGTGGATAGAGTGTCGGCCTGCAGACTCAAGGGTCCCAGGTTCGATTCCGGTCAAGGGCATGTACCTTGGTTGCATGCACATGCCCAGTAGGGAGTGTGCAGGAGGCAGCTGATCCATGTTTCTCTCTCATCGATGTTTCTAACTCTCTATCCCTCTCCCTTCCTCTCTGTAAAAAATCAATAAAATACATTTTAAAAAAATAAAAAAAATAATAATAAAAAGAATAAACTATAGATTTGACACACTTAAAGAGAAAAATCAGTAAAATGGAAAGATATAAATTTAAAAATACATATTCACAATGCAGTCTAGAGATTTAAAAGAGAGAAAGAGAGAGAGAGAATGTTTGAAAGAAAGGATAAGAAGTATAAAGAACAGAATGAGGAAGTCTAATATATGTCTAAGTGAAGTCTCTAAGGAAATAATAGAGAATGTAGGAAAGAGGCACTGTCAGAATATTTTTCTGAATTATTGAAAGACAACACACTTCAGATTCATTGCTCTCATCAAATCCCAAGTTGCAGAACATCCAAGACAAAGAGATCTTAAAAGCAGCCAGCGGGAAAGGACGGGTGTGACTGCTCACTTCCCAGTTGCAACACTGGAATGCAGTCTCCTGAATCTCCTCTTTCAGTGGCCAGAGTGACCTTCCACAACATCAGACAATGCAACTCCGGGCTTGAAATCCTCCAACGATGTCCCAGGTCACTTACAAAAATATTCAAAGTCTTTATGTGACTTATTTTTTATGTTTAAATCTGTGATTCTCCTGGAATGTTTTCTGATGTAAAAACTTTCCCTCTAAAGGGTTAGCTGGTGTCTCAACATCATTTCCTCAATAAGCTATGCTTCCATTTATCTGAAATACTGTACCACTAAATTGTTCCTGAGAGATGAATTCAATTTTAGATTTTATTGCATTTGTGCCTATGATACACCATGGTGAAAATACTCAGGATAATCCTATATAATAAAAGCCTAATATGCTAAGTGTCCTGTCGTTGTCTGGTCATTCGCTCAACCAATCAAATCGTAATATGCTAATAACATGCTAAGGCCACTCAACTGCTCACTATGATGTGCGCTGACCACTAGGGGGCAGACGCTCCAACCACTAGTTTAGCTTGCCGCTGGGGTCTGGAGAATTGGGACTGAGCAAGAAGGACTGGACACATCCTGGAGCCCTCCCACAGCCCCTCCCCCTGGCCGGCCATGGCCCCTCTCGTGCACAAATTCGTGCACCAGGCCTCTAGTTTTAGATAAAGAACTCAGAATTTGTTCTTGGGAGAGAGTTGGGTGTGATTAGGTAAGGGAACCATCTAAGGTCCTGTGAGGATCTGAGATTACCTACAGTGGTTGTGGAGTGAGAAGAAGATGAGGAGGGAACCCACAGCACCTCCCAGCTCACCTTAGGATGGTACTCCTGTGGGTATCTTCCTACCTGGATGGAGCTGTCTTATGGGCAAGGACCATGCCTTTCTCCTCCCTCAGGGTCCTCTCCAGCAGTTAGTACAACGTCTCACACATGTTAAATATACTTAATAAATGTTTTAGGCATAAACAGCGATGTAATGGATAGAGGAAATTAGATTGTTGAGTAAGGAAGGAAGACTGATGAATAATAATACCCTCTGACACTACAAAGGACTTCTCAGATCTCCTACTCCCTTGTTTCCCAGGGGCAAGGGTGGGGGCAGGTACACAGGTGGATTGGACACCAAGCAACCAATACCTCTGTTATGTGCCGGGAGCCATGAAGAAGATGATCAGGTGTGGTGACAGAGAGTAACGGGGAACGAGGAGGTGCCTTGTCAGCTGAAAGCTATGGAGGAGTCAAGCTTGGGCTGTGAACTGGCTGGGGGAACAGCTCCTGGGAAGGGCCCTGCGGAGGAGGAGGGCTCCAACTGAAAGGCAACCAGCGTGGCTAGGACAAGGCCCACGGGGCAACTGAGATAGCACAGTGGTCTCAGGAAGGAGGTAGGATTTTATCCAAAGTGCAATGAAACCCGGCTGGCGTGGCTCAGTGGTTGAGTGTCAACCTATGAACCAGG